TGTGTGTGTGTGTGTGTGTGTGTGTGTGTGTGTGTGTGTGTGTGTGTGTAATATTGGGAATTGAGCCCTTTCTGGTTCCTGGCATAGCAGTTTCATTCTGACACATAATCCTACCATGATAAACTGCTTTGCTGTGGGTCCAAAAGTGATGAGGTCAGTAAGGCAGGGACCGAAATTTCCAGTTCTGTGAGCCAAAATGAATCTTTTTATCTCTTTAATTTTTTCCAGTAATAGGAAACTAATACAAAATCAATACTGTATAAATAAATCTTAACTACACCATGACTAAGTGGGGCAAAGCTCAGAAATTGTGGGATGCTCAGTGGGTAAAGGAGAGACCTAATAGGGGTTTTATTAGGAGAATTGGCTCATGAGATCATTGAGACTGGGGAGCCCTGCTTAGGGCCTCTGCAGGCTGGAAACCTTGGCAACCTAGTGCCATTTTATGGCACTAAGCATAAGAAAAGACTCCCTGGTGTCCTGTACCCAAGGATAAGCTTGATATAGTCCAAAGGTGCTATGGCAATCTGCTAGCACAGTCTCTTTCTAACAAACCAGCCCTCTCCTTTGCTCAGCATGGGACTTTTTAAGAAACTTCAGTATCTTAGAGTCCATCATTTTAAGTAGTCCGGGACAAGTTTCCCTCCTCAGAGTATCTTCAGTCTTTCTCAGACAGTTAGAATAAAGAGTTAGAGTGAGATTCTCCACATAACACATAGAAACTGTCATCCTGCTTGATATCCGAGCTGTTTCTGACTCCATAAATCAGCGCCTTCCATTCAAGCCTGTCCCAAATACCTCACGGATCCACATCCTGGTGTGTGTTCTGCTCAGCCTGTAAATCCTGGCACCCCCATGTGCACTGGTTTCTGCCCTGGCAGCAGGTGTGTCCTGTTGCCCTCCCTACCCCACCCCCACGCGTCCCCATGACCATTAATAACACCTTGGCTTCCTTCTCTGATCAGGTCCCAGTCTTCCGACTTCCTGTTTACATTTCTCCAAAACTGCATCTTAAATACATTTTTGAAAATTTTCTGATTATTTCCATTTTGAATAACTTTTATTTCTTCCAGGCATTTATCTTTCGAATATAACCCTAAACCCAGAAGTGATTTCGAAGAGTCAGATTTGAGACCACCTGTTTTTGCAACAGATATAAACGATGAAAAAAGTACATCAACGGGTAAGGCTGTGTAGCATATAATCACTTTTTCTTGTATTTATTAATAAGTGCTACTAAGTGTAATTTATTAATTAATCATTTCCTCCTTCTTCTGGTGTTTTATTTCTGTAATTTATTAATTAATCACTTCCTCCTTCTTCTGGCATTTTATTTCTGTTCAAATAATTTACATAACAAATAAATGGTTTGAGGGTTTTTTGGTTCTTTATTTTTTATTAATTAATTAATTAATTATTTTTTATTAGTTACATTTTATTAACTCTGTATCCCAGCTGTATCCCGTTCCCTCATTCCCTCCGAAACTCTCCCTCCCTCATCTCCTCCCTGCCCCTTTCTAAGTCCACTGATTGGGAAGGACTCCCTCCCCTTTCATCTGACCCTGTTTTATCAGGTATCTTCAGGACTGGCTGCAAAGTCCTCCTCTGTGGCCTAGCAGGACTGCTCCTCCCTTGGGGGGTGGGGAGGTCAAAGAGCCTGCCATTGAGTTCCTGTCAGAAATAGTCTCTGTTCCCCTTACTATGGGAAACCAATTGATAACTGAGCTACCACGGGCAATTCACTGTGTATAAACACACACACACACACACACACACACACACACACACACACCACATTCAGGTGTAATCTCACCTTATTGCCCAGAATGAACTTGAACTCCTGGACTCAAGAGATCCCTCTGGCTCATCTTTTCAGGTAACTGAGACTCCAGGCATATATCATCACACGTGGTTCACGAATACATTTTTATGGATATATTTTTATGTTTCTATGGTTATTTCCTCTGTCTTCCTGGGAGACATAAAGTAATAGCAATTCACCACACATAGACAGAACAAGAAAAAAGATTCTATCCAAGTCGAGCCTGATGAATCAAAACTTCATTCAGATTATGTCCATGAATGTACATGAATGAGGCTAGTTTTACTTTTAGGAGCATGAATGAGGTTTGCCAGGATATCACCAGGAAATCCCTCCCCACAGCAGCTACACTATTAAAGAGCCCTAACCCTCAGTCAACCTTTTGTATTTACTGGTATCCCTTCTTCCCAAACCATGTGTACAGAGCCAAAATTATATGTACCTTGAGGCAGGAATGGAGGGTGTGGAAACTGGAATCTCACATGAGAGCCTAGTGACCGTCCCCTCTCCTGGGGAGGAATGTTACTAGTTTTTCACCAGAAAACTAACCCTTGCTGTGTCGTCCTTATTTCCTTACCTACAGAGGTCGAGTCATTCTGTGCGTCACCACAGCACTTGCTGAGTCATGATGGCCAATAGTTATGAAACACCTAGAGAAAAAAAAAAAAAAAAAAAAAAAAGAAACACCTAGAGGAAATAGTTCCACTATAGAACTATTATCTTCTCCTCGAAGGAAATGCCAATTTTCCTTTTAACTCAATCCTTAGGCTTTCATTGAAATTTTAAAATACAAGTCAAGTATGAATTGCCTGTTTAAAAGAAACATACCTATAGGATTAGAAATTTTAGGAACCTGTGGTCCAGGACCCAGCATTTTATAGATTTCCAGTGGCAGTAGTGCTGTCTGTTTTTTTTGTTTTGTTTTTTTTTTTTTTTTTTAATTTCATTGTCAACCAGGTAGTTCCACGGTCACCGGCCTCCTTGGCTAAAGTTTCTTGTCTACATTCTGCCCCATATTGTCTATGTCTGTGCTGTACTCTGTAAGTTCTCAAAAGATGTACTTATAACATGGCCTTCCTCTCTCTGCTCTTGCTTAAATATCAACCCATTCCAATAAGGATCCCTCCCTTGCTTTTCTGCTTAAGCACTCACCTGCATTGCCCGTGGCCCCAATGCTGTTGCTAAATCCAAACAGCATTTTTCATTTCTATTTTCTTCTGCTTCTCCAGGCTCAGCTGGTTGATCATTTCCTCCTTCTAACTTCAAGCTTTTGGGACTGTTGGCACAAAACATACCTCCCACTCAAAAGAGATAGAAAATAGCTTATTTTTGATCCAAATATGAGTGGCTATAGCCTTAGAACATGGATTCAGACTGCCCCAAGTAACATGTTCCAATACAAACTTTCCAAGTAACATTTTCCGATGAAAAATTTGAAGTTGTCATAGCTAAGGAACAAAAGAAAGTCATAACCTAAGGTGTTTGCCAACTGTGCTTCTGAAAATATTCGATGGGCAGGTTACAGCCAGGTGTGAGAATTTCACCTAGGGTTTTCACATGCTATCTGAGAACTTCCTTACCTTTGAGGATGGTGGAATGTCATGGTTGGCTAAGTTAACACATTCAGAAAAGTTTTACTGAGGTTGTTCCATCAAACACAGATAGATGCAGGCAATGAATGGCTATTGAACATCTAACCAGACTACCAGAGACAGTGTGCCTGTCATTGTAGAAATCAAAGAGCAAGACTTGAATCTTGAAAGTTCATTTTATGAAGAGAGCCAGCAATCTTGGAAGCCACAGGAAATCTGCCTCAAGCCAAGTCCTGCTGGTATATCGTCTAGGGAACTGGAACAGAGACAATTAATCATTTCAGAGTTTTGTCTTGAGCTCCAGGTTGGGAAGCCAGCCTCATCCACGGGGTTTCATGATGTCGGTTCTTCTTATCACCCTCTGCACCTTTCCCTCATTATCAGCTCTCTATGTAGGGAGAAGTTTATACACGCCTAAGGCTTCCAAGACCCACATTTTTTCCTGAGTCACTATCCAGGCTAAATCTGTGTTAAAGGTTAACTCGGAACAAACAAAGCATTAGCATGTGCACAGCGGGGCTGCTTTTCATGCATAGGATGTGAGGTAAAAATGTGTTCTCATACAGAATATAAAGCACCCCTCTCTTCTCCTGTTCTTTTCTACTGTTAACCACCCATTCTGGTTTCACATGAAATATGGGCTCTGTGGCTGGGCATATATTGGTAGTTCAGCATCTGGCCAGCAAGGGAAACTGTGTAAGTCAGGGCACGTTTATAACAGCAGACAGATAAGCAGAGGAGAGGAAACAATGGGAAAAGTAGGAAGGCTGCTCTGAGGCCAGGGAGGTTTGGGAGCCAGGAGGCACACGAGGACAGGTCAACGTGAAGAACCTTCCTCTGTTCTTATGTCAAGGACAGCTTCATCAACTGCTTTATCTTTCTGTTCAGCCAAATAAGCTTTACCTGTCAAGTTAAAATGGTATTCTCTGACATTCTTTACGGTTCTACGTCAGCAACAAATGATCTACTGCAGCCCATTTCCTAGGACTGCTTTCCCAACTTGACCTAATTTCTGTCCAATAGCCCCAACAGACTTTTACCATAGATCAAAGCAGATGCTTAGCTTCTGTGTAAGAGTCCTGGAGCAGCATCACAAATAGTCAGAGGTAGACATCATCAGGACTCTAAGTTAGTGTGTGGGAAATGCCCCTCTTCTTAGCTGGCGAGTTAGTTCATTTTTCTCTTGCTGTGATAAAATATTCTGACAAAAACAACCCTTATGAAAGGAAGGGTTTATTTTACCTCAAAGTTCCAGAGTCACAATCCATCATGGGGGAGAAGCTATGGCTGCAGGAGTTTAAAGCATCTAGCCATGTTGCATCCGTAGACAGGAGCGGAAATGGACACAAGCTCGGCCCGCTTCTCTCCACGTATGCAGTTGAGGATCCCAGCCCAGGGAATGGTGACACCCATTCTTAGGGTGGGTATTCTCACCTCAGTTAACCTCACCCAGATAGTTCCACATAAGCACGCCTAGAAGCCCATCTCCTTCCCATGTGATTCTAGACCTTGTCAAGTTGACACCCAGTGTTAGTCTTCACACCCATTAAGTCAGGTGGGCCTTCTGGGGATGGCTATCGCAGGAGTCTTCCTAGCCGCTGGTACTGTTCATGGGCACAGAATATCAAGCATTTTTACAAGCTGGCAGGAGCCACTCCTCTGGTACCTTGGCTCGTGGTATTAGGCCTGTGAAGTTATCGTTACATATCAGTCTCCCACTCTGCCAGATTTCTAATACGGTCTATGAAAACAATACACGTGTTAGCAGGAGAGATGGGCTAACGGTCAAACAGTCCCCCCCCTCCTTTCATTCACAACAGGTCCCCACTTATAAACGTCAGAACCGCTTTTTAATATTTCTGAGTATAATTTGGTAGGCCCCAGAAGCTGTGTAAACACCGTGAAAAATGGAGAAAACTGTCTGCTCTCAATTTGTTTTTTGCTAAGGTCACCCATGCGCTTTCATCTCAACTCTCCCCTGATTGGGGAAGGGCTAGCCATTAGTGAGAATTCAAACAGTATTGTCCTCTTAAAGTCCATCTCAGATCTTCTGTTTGTTTGGATATCAGGGTTAGTCTTTGATCTCTTCTTGACCTGGTGCTGTTACACCCAAGACTTACCTCCAGCATGCTTCACTGCTGTCAGTGTCACCAGAACCACCTGCCTTGGGCCATTCAATGTCTCAGTTAGTCTTTCACAGAGCCTGTGTTTCCGGCTTTCAAAAGAACCCTGTCACCAAAGGCAGAATCACTAACATGAGCATCCATCCTCAATAAGTTTGAAACCTGTCCTGGTTCTGAATTTTCTATTCCAGACCTGTTGTTGTAAATATTTTGGTGTTGGGCTATATAATGTTTATTATTCTTAGCCCTGTAATTACCACGGTGGTATTATTTAACCCGCTACCATAATCAAATAAAACACAGATACCTGTTAGATTTTACAACTGCCTTAAAACACCTTGGGCTGGGCCAATAATTCCATCTATGCTATTTCAATAACCTCAGTATCCACCTCCCAGCTCCCATCGAATGCTATCGTCCTTCACCATTTTCATCTTGTCTACCTTCCATCCCTAATCTTAAAAATTCTTGCTTGTAGTCTTCATCTGGGCCTTTCCACGCCATTATTGGGGGTCCATCCTCCCAGCCCACGTGGTTTCTTCTCCATGCTAACCCATCGTGGCATCCTCCCCCCACACACACTGTTTCCTGTGATTCTCTTGAACCCAAAGCCTGGGAACGTTAGCCAAGCCTACTCCATTCTGCCTTGTCCAAGTTTTAGACCTTTTATCAACCAATCAGGTATAATGTCCTTACACGATAAGGATAGGTTTAACCAGGCAGTGACCAGATCTTGAGGGTCGGCAATCAACATCAAAACACAAGCATCAGACCGACCCCCAACACCAGTCTCTTACCTACTTACCCAGTTTAAGCACAGTCTGGACTGGCTAAGCATAAACCATGTCAAGAGGAATGAAGTGAAGCTTAAGGAAACAATTCTTACTCTTTTGGGGCATGAGGTAGGACTTGGTCCCAGAGCAGGTGCATCATGGCACAACTTCAAGATTGTCCTTCCTAAGGCATGATTCATACCTTTCCACCTTATCTGAGGTTTGAGGCAACCAGGATATAGGTAGTCTCCATTTGATTTATGTTTGTTTGCCTTTTGTGTTATCTCAAAGACAAAAGCAGGACAGTTATTATTATGCACCTTGTTTTTTTCTTTTTCTGGTGGCAACTTTTGAAAATTCATTTTACATCCTTGTTGTAGCCCCATTCCTCCTCCCTTCCCAGTCCCACCTTCCCTTCCTCCCCTCCCCCACTTTTCCTCAGAAAAGGGGAGCTCCCTTTCCTATCCACCCCAGCCTATCAAGCTGCATCAGGTCTGAATGCATCCTCTTCCCCTGTGGCCTGGCAAAGCAGTCCTGCTAGAGGAAAGTGATCAGAAAGCTGGCAAGTGCGTCCATGTCCGATGCAGTCTGCATTTCCCTTATTAGAGGAGACACATGAGACCTAAGCTCCCCATTATGGGTGTTCTTAAACAGTCCACAATGAAGGATAATCCCCCTCGGCAGGGCTTTAATAACCACGATAGCTTTTTCAGTCTACCCGGGAAACACTTGAACCAACCTTGAAAAGGTATCAACACAAATCAGCATGTATTTGAATTCTCTTGACTTTGGGATTTGAGTACAGTTGACTTGTCTATCCTGCATAGGTCTTGACCTTGACCGTGCTAAAAATCTTTGTGTTGCTGAGGTCAATCTTTGGGTTATTCTTAAGACAAACTATATATCTGGCTGATGTTCATCATATGACATCAGATAATGCTAGTCCTGTAATCTACAGCCTATTGTAATTAACCAGAGCATCTCCCCAAAATACTCATGCAACTGCTTAGCAACTGTCCTGCCAAGTAGGCCAGAAGGGATATTGTTTCTTTCTCATTTCTTGTCCAGTTGTCATATACAGATTTGCTAAATCTCTGGTGTCCTGGTTAGCCCTAATTGTCAACTTGACACAGTCATCTGAGAGAAGCTTCAGTTGAGAAATTGCGTGGATCAGGTTGGGTTATTGTGGCTATTTCTGTATTGGCTTTATTACTGATTGACACAGAAGGGTCCAGCCCACTGTGGGTGGCACCATCCCTTAAGCTGGCCCTAAGGAGGATAAGAAAACTAGGTAAGCCTAAGTCAAAGAGCAAGCCAGCAAGCAGCGTTCTCCTACGCTTACTGCTTAAATTACTGCCCTGACTTTTTCAGTGATGAACAGTGAGTGACCTGGACGTATAAGCCAATTAAATCCTTTCTTCCTCAAGTTGCATTTGGTCAAAGTGTTTCATCACAGCAACAAACCAAACCAGGACAAACAGCCAATATCCTTTTCTGTGACAGAAGCAGGACATTGAGACTGAAATCCGGAAGTGTCAAGCATGGGAATGAGTAGCAACTTCATAATTTACATTCCTTGCCAGACAGTTTCCTCTACTGTAGTGATTCCAAACCTGTAGGTCACAACCCCTTTTGGGGTCAAAAGACCCTTTCAGAGGGGTCACATATCAGATGTCCTGCTTATCAGATATTTACACTAAGATTCACAACAGTAACAAAATTACAGTTATGAAGTAGTAATGAAAATAATTTTATGAATGGGGGTTAACCACAACATGAGGAACTGTATTAAAGGGTCACAGTATTAGGAAGAAATACTGTTCCAGAGAAACCTGTAGGTGGAACTGTTGGTCTTCTAGAAAAAAAAGTTATGTATGCCCGCAGCTTAATCAGAGATCCTTCTCCCTATGAGGAATTTGTGAGTCAAAACTATGTCTCCTAAACCAGGTATTGTGGTGCATACCTGTAATTCCAGTGCCTGAGATGTGGAAGCAGCAGGATCCAGAATTCAAGGCCAGCCTTGGCTTCAGAGAAAGATTGAAGCCACATTGAACTATATAAGACCCCTCCCCCCTCCCTACACACACACACACACACACACACACACACACACACACACGTACACACACAAATACACGCACACACGACAACAACAACAGAACCTACCTAGCTCTGTCTTCCATTGCACATTCCAGAGATTCTGGAAACCACATTGCTGTCCTGCTTCTTGGGGGCTTTTTGTGATTGGATGATTTATCACTGAATAACTAACCTCAGTATTTACTAGCAAAGTCAAAGGAAGCTCCTTCTCTTAGTTTTACCTGCGACCCTGGGGGAATAACTGTAACTGGTTGTCTGAGCCATGAATGCCAAGTCTCCTCCATTTTCCTCACACCAGTTTTCTGGGCTGCCTGGACTTCCAGCTTCTGGCTTCACTTCTTCCTGGGACACTCAGATTTCCAGTGACTTATCTCCGTAACAGGCACACTAACCTTGCTTTCATCACCTTGCCTCCCTAACTTTGTATCCTGAGGTTTCATCCTAACAGGATGGTGGCCGTGTGTGTCTTTAGCTGTTCACAATTATTACATACTCTATGGGAAAGGCCTCTGCAGGCTAAGAGGATGTCAAGTCCATAACCCTGTGTTTTGTAAATTCTTCTATCAAGTGCCCTGTGAAATGTAGGTTATTGTCACCATCCGGATATTTTGTGTGATCTGAGGGTCTGTATCAGTGCATCTCCAACGTGCTTGACAGCTCTACTCAAACTACACACAATTCTCGTCAACCCTTTGTTGTACCACTGAGCCAGGTTTAGACACTCTTGCCTTGGTACCACTCTTCCTAAGGCCTCCCAGGATACATCTCTAGTATCACTCTATGTCAGAAAAATGAGACAGAGAAGCAGACAGACTCAATTAACATGGTGAGACTGCTTTACTGAAGCAGTGAGGGGCCCCAACCTTCATGCAGGATGATAGTTGAGTGCCCTTGTAGGGACGTGTGTGTGTGTGTGTGTGTGTGTGTGTGTTGTCCTACACACACAGGGGTACCTACCAGGAAGTTACAGCTAGTTTTTGTGCTTTGATTGAAAGCGGGTAGGTTGCTTTCCATACCTGAAGAGATTGTTTTTGCAGGTGGAGCTGATGGGTCAGGCTTGAACTAAGCCATTTTTTATGGCTAGGGGCTATTGTCCCATACAGCCTGACTCAATTTCTCCTGGCCTGAGGCTGTTTCCCAGCTCTCTAGATCTACTACTCTATCTTCATTAACACTACAATTAGGTTCTGCACCTGGAACCATCTCCTGCAATGTAAGAGATTCTCCTAAAGTGTTTTTCCTGCTTTTCCTCCCTAGTCTTAACTTATCATGAGCCATCTGTCAGCCATCAGAAGGATAGTGAGCAGGGCCTAATGACTGCCAACTTAGAGTCTAAACCAACCCACTCCGACAGGTCATGCCAACAGGATTGCCCCGTATCATTCCAGTCTAGAGTGTCGAGTGTGAAAAGGGAGTTAACATGGCTCATAGCCTCCAAGTAGCTGCCCAGTGTCCCCAACGTCAAGGTGGGGGCAGGGCCTACTCATAGCACCCAATGCGTGAAATTTACAAGGTCCAGGACACCACTCCAGACACGCTCTCATTTTCTTTCCTGCCTTCCTTCACTCCTCTACACTTGGCTGAGGGTCTTATGCCTGACAGTGTCCTATCCCTGGTAGCCCACTAGTGTCTGCTGCTGCTGCTGCTTCCTCCTCCTCCTGCCTGTAGCTTTCCAAAACAACTTTTTGCGTTTTTCATTGTATCACTGATCTTCCTTCAGTCAAGACCAAATCTCAACTGTGCATTGCCACAAAAGCCTGAATATTGAACGTAGGAATTTCTGCTCCCTTGCTAAACAATAAGTATAAAATAGTTAATTTAGAAATCCACTCAAGGAACACATTTTCTCAAAACCTAATGCATAAAGTGGCCCAAATTATAACAATATGCTACTTTTTCTTTTTTAGAAATACAACAGGAAGCACCTTTAAGGCAAAGGCCAGGCAAACCTGAAGCTGAAAATCAAAGCAGAAAGTACCAGAGCCAAGAAAAGGGAAATGCCCCAAAGAGAATCACTTGGTAGATGCTTGGACGCTTGTCCACCGCATCTACTTGTCCACTCCAGGACCTTCTAGTTTTAGACAGGCTTTGGGCTCTCTGAGGCAACTGAATGATTTACTGAGAGACCTGAAGCTTGACTTCTGTGAGCCAAATGTAATACTAGGGCTTAGAGTCTGTCAACACAAACGCCAATGAACAGAGACAGGAATTTCATTCTCAAAGTGCTCTTTGCTTACAGAGCTGGCAATATAGTAAGCCAGAAGATCTGCCTTTCCCAGGCCTGCTAGCACATTTTACAGAGAAGCAGAGCACGGGCAACTAATCATTTCAAAGTTTGGGTCTTGTGCTATAGAGATGAATCAGCAGTTAAAAGTACTTGCTGCTCTTGCAAGAGAACCCAGGTTTGGCTCCCAACACCCATGTGGCAGTTCACAACTATCTGTAACTCTAGTTGCAGGAGAACCAGTGCCGCCATCTGGGCACCAGGTACACACATGGTACACACATGGTAAAATTAATATTCAAACTTTAGGTCTGTCCTTCTGGTGAAGTGGTCAGCCGTGTCTCTGAGGACCATGGTATTGATGGTTCTCTTCCCATCACCTGCATTTTCTTCCCATCATTTCCCTGCAGCTCATGTATTTGACCACGTTGGTGGCATTGTTTGGAGGATTTTTAGGAGGCGCAGCCTTGTTGGAGGAAGTATATCACTAGAGGTAGACTTTGAGAGTTGAAAGATTCACGCCACTTCAGGTTCACTCTCAGTGCTTCGTGCTTGTGGTTCAAGGAGTGAGTCTGGCTTCCTAATCTTGCCACCTATTGCAATGCCTTTGCTCAGCGCCACGTACACTTATCCCTCTGGAACCATCAACCCAAATAAACTTTTTATTTTCTCTAAGTTGCCTTGCCTTGTTCTGGGTGTTCTATCAAAGCAACAGAAAAAAAAAAATAGCTAACACAGAGAGAATTTAGCTCATCCATTTAGCTTGTCATTCCATGTCACAGCCTATCACTGAGAAAAGTCAGGGCAGGAACTCAAGCAGGAGCCTGAAGGCAGGAACTAAGACAGAGGTCATGGAAGAATGCTTCTTACTGGTTTGCTCCTTGTGCTCATGAAATTGTCAAGGGACAAAATAACCTATAATCCCAGCACTCCGGAGGAGGCAGATACAGGCAGATCACTGTGAGTTCAAGTTCAAGGCCAGCCTGTTCTACAAAGAGAGTCCGGGACAACCAAGAGAAACCTTGTCTCGAAAAAACCAAAGACCAAAACCTAAACAAACAAACAAACAAACAAAAAAGTATTTCATCCTAATAGTTACCTTCTCAAAGAAAGCTATTACTAACCACCTGACCCTCCATTATGGCAGCAGGGGTTTCCAGCCCTTTTGCTTTTGTACAGTGTTAGTATTCTTTCAAAAGGTGGTTAGCGTCCATTCCAAAGCCTCTTCGCTGCCTTCTCATCCCCACTTCCTACAAAAGGTGCTCTCTCCAGAAAGACCCTGGATATTCTGAGCTTTGCCAATAGAGTGTGCACCATTCACTGCTTCTTCAATTACCTCTTTGTCACTTAAACTACTACTTTTTCATGTAAACAACCTCTTCCTCTTCACCAACCTCCTTTCAACACAACTTCTAGATTTCTCTGCCTAGATACATTCACATTGCATTCAGTCTTTGGGGTTTTCTGTTTCTTTTCTGTGTTGTCCACTAACATGTGTGTATTACTAGAAAGGGATCTCATTTCAGGGCCTAGCACCAATGCCTACTGAATATCCACTAAATAAATACCAGACTTTATACTGTTTGATACGGCTATTGTATTATTACAGTCCTCAAAACACCCATGAATGATAATTAATAATATTTGAAACTAACAAATGGGGCAGGAAGGTCAGAGAGGTTAACATTTCAAGACAATATAACTCACAGAATTAGGTTTGGTTTGAGTGTGGGGTTATCTAAATCCAAAGTTGGGGTACTTGTCCCACACAGTATGTTTATATTAATAAAATCTACTGTATAATAATCTAAATGAATAACATCAATAGTTAGAAAAAAAGAAATACACAGGTTGGGGAGAATACTTTTCTTTTCCAAGAATTATTAAAGATTATTTTACAACTTAAAGACTATTCTGAATAACATGTCTGTTTCTATTTTATTTAGAAGTTGATTTTCCAAGAAAATAAAAATTGTATTGTTTAATAATAAATATTAGAAAATTACATTCTATCCTTTAAAACATAAGTTGTAAAGGAAACAATTTCAGAAGTTGGTAAGATGGCTCAGTTGGTAAAAGCGCATGCTGCCAAGCCTGATGACCTGAGTTCAATCCCTGGGGTCTACATGCTAGAAGAAGACCACAGACCCCCAGAGCTTGTCCTCTGACGTCCAAATGTGCTCTGTGTCATGCATGCACCCACCACACAGGCACATACAAGAATAAATGCATGTGATGAGAAAATCCAAGAGAGTCGTTTTAGAATAGACTTCTCTCTACAGATGTAAAAACATTGCATATGTAAGCATATGGAATTAAGGTATACGTATAAAATTTCTATTAGTAGTAGAGAAATTAGAAGTAGTTATTTTTTTTAATCAGTGTGTGTGTGTGTGTGTTTGGATTTCCTTAGAATCCAAAGAAGAAAATCTAAAACCGAGTTCTACATTTCTTCATTTTCTTAAGAATAAACCTGAGGTAAGTGTAATTTGCATATTTGTGGCTAGTTCAAATAACTTTGTCTCTGTGTATCACAATTCAAGTGATGTTTAGAATCAAAAAGCATAAGGAGGTAAAACAAATACATCTGATATTTATAAAACCTTATGTATGAGGACATTAAATTATACATACGATAAAGTGGTGCACATCTAATTTAAACATTTACTGAATATAATATGAACACATGAACCTGTTAATCTTTTCATGTGCAGCTCAGGCAATGTTTTCAGCTATGGTTAGATTACACAATTTCAGTCACTACCAAGGGTAGGTTAGAATCACCCATTCACTGAGGGACCTTCAGCTGCATTCTGAAAATTCTGTCTTCAGACATTGAGCTTGGACCTGGCTGCAATTCAGCAGGTCGTATCTAGGGACTAGAGAGATAAGTTAACCCAGAGAATCAGTGAGGGTCAGCTACATTAGAGTCCTTTTAGTATGTGTTGATTTGTTATTAACAGATTATTACTGACCTGGAGAAAGAACCAAGAGGCTATGCTTGCTTAATGATGATCAACAGTAACAATATTTTTTATCCTTTTGGGGACAGTACTGGGGATTGAGCCTATGTTCTCAATATGTTCTAGGCAAGTCTCCAATCACTGAACTATTCCCCTAAACTACATACCTATTTTTTGCTCCATACTCCTAAGTTTTAAAATTATAAAAAGCATTAACAGAATCCCCAGGTTATTCGTTTATTCTTATCTGCATGTTTAAATCCCTGCTTAATGAAAATCTCCCAAGATATGTATAACATCACAGTTTGCGCATCATAATAATGTACTAGCAAGTCAGTTAAGATATGCAAAGTTTTAATTGTTAAAATTAGCCAGGGCCTTCTCTTCATCAGTCTTGGTCTGTATGGACTTGAGGATGCACCTAATGTTTTTGTTTCTTTTCCTACTGCTATCATAAAACCCAACCTAAGGGAAAGGGGTTTATCCTGGCTTACAATGCCAGGGAAGTATGGCGTGTCACTGGGGGCGGGCGGGGAGAAGGCAGGGAGGACACGGGGGAAGTCCAGGAGACTGGCTGCTCTCACTGACTCTGCTACTCTGAACGCGAAGCCCCCACTTCTTCCAGCGAAGCTCAGACTCCTGAAGGGTCCACAGATCTCCCAAACTGCACCAGCCACTGGGGTTAAGCATGATCCCATGGGAATATTTCCCGTCCAAATCACAGCAGCTAGGCATGGCAGTTTTACTCTAAACAATTCCATTTCGTGCTCAGTGGACTATGTCTTAAACTCCAACATGTAAGTGCGGGCCCCCACAGAATCCAGAAGAGGCTGTCAGGTTCTCTGGAGATGGAGTTACACACAGGCAGTTATGACCCATCAAATCTGGGTTCTGGGAACTGAGGTCCTCTGCAAGAACAGTGTATACTCTTAACCACTGAGATGTATCTCCGGGACCTTGAGGGGCTTTAAGGTGGCTCACTGTGCCTAGAATAATAATTCCTCAGGCTTTTCATTCAGATAAATAATGGTGACATTGAGTAAAATTACATTAATTCTAATTATTATATTTTCATTGTCATTCACTTTGAAGAGAATGTTTTATTTTCCCCTGGCATTTCTTCATTGAGATATATTGTAGAAATTTCCAAATATTTAAAAAAAATTTCAGATATGTAACAATGTTTGAT